GATGATCCACACACTTGCGTCGAGTCCGACCGACTGCGAGGGTTGTTATAGCAACAGCTGCGATGGCTCCGTCAAAACGGGCTAAAAACCGGTTTTCGTTGGAGCCGACGCAGCTGTTGCTATAGCAACCCTCGCAGTCGGTTGGACTCAGCACAGTTGTGTGAACCGTCCTTTAAACGCCGACGACCAGACACGAGACTCTGCAAGGCAGAAGATCCTCCTCACCCTGGGGGAGGAGGAAACAGGCAACGGTGGACAGGGTAGAAGAGAGAGAGGAGGAAGCGGGGGAAAAGTGGAAGCACAAAACTAGTCGTTGGTCTTTAAGCTGTAAACAATGACTGTACGCGAGGCAATATACCGATGTCACCAAGAACTGCACAGGCGCGCGTATTCCGAAAGTGGTGCCGCCGCCATGCATGGTACTTGTAGGCATCGCTTTCCGGCTTCCTGGCTGCATAGGGCTTGTTGTGCGCGTACATCATCGTACATGATCGTTTGCGATACCCCGGTATCGGCCTGGATTTTCCTGCATGTTTGCATTTAATAAGATTGTGTTGTGATACCTTATTAGTTTGTCAGCAATAGAAGTAAAGCAAATCGCTTTGTCGTCTGCTTCGTCGTCGTCTGTTTCTTCGTCTTCGTGAACGCGTGACACCACTGCATACACGCGTAAATTCCATTTCGGCCACAGGAAAAACAACAATGCCACTACACCAGCACTCCGGCTGTTCGGATGTCTCAATGAACTTCGAAACAAGTCAACATCTATAGTTCAGTAGCAAAGATCACGAAAATTCGAGGTACCATCGGCTCGGTGTAGCACAGCGGAACATCATCAAATTTGTCGGTGGAAAACTGAACACTGAACACTAAGCTTGCCCATAAAGTTTAATCGACAATAAAGTAAGAAAAGCTAAATAGACTTTCTCGGGGAGCGATGTTTTTTTTGTTTTGTTTTTTTAAACTACGGGAAGGAGACAGCAGTTCATCTTATTTCAAGTGCATGATACATATCGGGAATCGCTGCTCTCTTTTTAGCGATTGTCCTGATCTTTTGAAGCACAGTGGTGCTTTAAAAATTTCATCGCAATAACAATTATAACCACTAAAGTACATCGACCAAGACGTGTATTAAAAAACGGCCGCCGCAAAGCAGTGAGGAGGTTCCGATTGACATAGACCAACGGATAGACCACCATACGGAGCGAGTGCTCAGGGAGATTCCAACGTACGTAAAGCTTTGGAAGGCATCACCGTACATCGTGCCCTGTAATCTTACACTCTTCAGCTAACGTGCAAGATGGTGGATTTAACTTATGAAGCAAATCGCGAAACAAATCAAAAAATGCTTTTCCTTCTGTCGCTCTGACCGGCTATGTTTACCTTTCTTAGCCACTCTTTCCGGGGGCTGCTTTCTATTGGAAAAACATAAAATCCGATGTGTCTTTGCCTGGTGCTTTTTATTGGAGAACTGTGGCACGTAACAAGTGAAGCCACCCATCGAAAACCCGGTTAAATGTCTCGTGCTAACCCGAAAACGTCAGAACGCCGGTCGTACAACGCGGATTGACGCGGCCGGAAAACTGAGGAGAACCGCATGTACCACAAAGCACTACGGCAGCTGTGGCGTCGCGCAACTCCTGGTGAGATCGGTCTATTGCGAGTCAAGAACGCGCATGCGTTGAACCCTCTGCGAAAATCACACTCCCGAAGAGCAATTGCCTTGCGTGCGCACAAAGTATCTCAGCTCTCGTGTCAGCGTTTACACCTTTAACACGACCACATATTGCGAAACCATCACGTGAAAAAGTAAGGCATCTAACTTGAGGAGCTACCCTCAAGAGCAACCTATTATAGGATGATACCATATAGTTCACTGCTGTACTGTTGTGACCACTGAGCGTGCTGAAGACGGAACAAAATACAAACATAGATAAGTTTATTGCTTTCATACAGAGAAATATATGCCATATGAGTAAACTGTCTGAAACAAAATGCGGACACTAAAAACACACACAAAAGCACAAAAATATGATGACATGCGAAGCTAGAAGCCGTTGTTTACTGTCATGTATTCAAGACCCTGTACTGACATAGCCTGTTTTACTCCTTGTCATTAGGCTCAAACTCTCGTTTCAACTGGCCTATTTATTCGGCCTTCTACACTGCGTATGGCCAAGCATCTTACAAAAACGGCGTCTGATATTATTCAAATGAATGATGTGCTCAAGGATTTTTGCTACGTCATCATTGCCACCAGATTATTTGTTTTACCTTAATGTCCCGTGAGAGGCCGCAGCCTCGAAAGATAACCCACCCCTAAGTTTTGGCAAGATTTTATATCTTAAAAAAAAAAAAAAAAAACGAAGGATAGTCCACTTTTAGTAATTGCGGGGCCCTGACAAATGGTGACCTTGGCATAAATTGAGTTACTTAACCTCGGCAGGAAGTTAGCGAATATCGTTGACAGTGAGGAACAGTCATCCTTGATTCATCACCCCTCCCTGCAATCACAAGCTTTGAAGCGCACAAAATTTAAAACTATCATTTTTTAACCTTTTTTTTATCGCAGATTGGAAGTTAGTAAACAAGTTGTAGGAAAGCAGCACTGAAAGCCACCCCACGTCTTAAGCGTGCGCAGGCCCAATACTCCATTCACCCTTTCACGTGATTGGAGAACCAAGCTACGAGCCCCTCGCACCAATCCTGTGTTTCTAACATAGTCTTGTCTCGCTAATATGCACCCCGTTAATGTGGATATCCGATATATAATCATATTTTTTTGTCCCATTACTACGAACTACTCCTAATATCTACACTTTTTTTTTTTGGGGGGGGGGGGGGGGGGGGAGGGGACGGAGGTGTCCATATTAACTACAGAACTCAACATATACTTTCCCAGGGGAGGCAGGAGACAAGCTATAGTCACATGGCATTTGGTGCAGGTGCGAACTGATACATGGCTTACATTGGGAGATCCGTGACCGCGTCCCGTAATGCCTAAGCGGAGAGCAAGTCGTCTGTTTCTTGCGCAGGGGTTGCGGTGACGTCAGAACGACTTAGAGTTTTGAATGGCTTTGATTGGAAGGGTAGTGGGTAGACCGCAATGCTAGATGCCTCGAGTTATACCCACTGTTTTCTTCAATCACACAATGAGAGCTGGGCGTTCTGACATCATCGCAACCCCTACGCAGGAAGCAGGCGAACGTGCGCTCCGTATTCACTAATTATGCTCACGCTACTTGCTTCGCCATTCGTTCCTTGGCTTTCTTATCGGCTCATGCCGCAATATCGCCGACTGCGGAGCGATGATAAGGTGCTCGCAACGCACCATGCCCTGCGTTCCTTTACCTGTCAGTGACCATAGACATCAAAGGATGGATTTCACGTGTGCGCGTTTGGGTTGTTGTACTGTTGAGAACGGGGAAGAGGGCGTGCCTATAGGCGCATTATTAGTCTCCCTGTGCGACGAGGAGACTCGCGTAGGCCTGGAAAAGGGAATGAAAAGGAGGGAAGAGGGGTGGGAATTTTAAATTTGAACCCAAGTTTCAGTCAAAGTATGTATTGCTTTAGGGGGATTGAAGTGACCGATATGTGGGAATAGACGCTCCGCAGTCGATACAATCGATAATGTAGCGATAAGCTAAATACCTGTTGTTAGGCCCGTCGATCGCAAAGTCTCTAGAGGAGAACGGTAGACGAATTCCGCCTTTAGCCGTCCTTCGGGAAGGAAGAAAAGGCGATTCTCGTGGGTAGGGTGCTCAGGAGCGAGCGTCAGGACTGATCGGATAGAGGACGCTCAAAGAACATATGATGAATGGTTTTACGTATAACACAGGCGGCACAGTGCGGTGTCTTTAAGTTTGGATAATTTGTGTAGAGGTTTTGCAGCGTAGGCACAGTCCGATCGGATACGGTAAGGTACAATGAATAAGCTTAGATTCCAGAATAGATGGCGCTGGATTCCCATACGTGATGCCTTGGAGTGAGTGAGGCATTTTGTTGACAAGGTGGCAGAATCTCCGTACTTCGTTGGAAAGTGTAGTTACTAATACAACGAAGAGGGTGCATCTCCCTCGACTTCGCGATCGGCTATGTACGTATAACTGACGTTCTGATGAGACAACCCTCTCTATCTAGCGCAAACGCTAAGTCTACACACACTTGACACATCCCCTCCCCAGGGTGCCTATACAACCTCCAGAGGATTCCTTTAGCCGGTCACCTCTCCGTTTCTGCTATAAATCACCTTCCCAGGTTATCCAAAAAGCAAAAGACTCAATGACAGTCGCCTTTTGCACGTTTCGTTTCGTTCAAGCTCCCGTGCGACCTTGACACGGCGTCTCCGTCGCCGCCGCCGCGTCGTTCGTTAACCGTCCTCCGTCCACTTTCTAATACTGCCCTTGGCGCCGCTCCGAAGCCATCGAAAACCGGGCCCTCCCTCCCACCAGAACTCTTTGCGCGCTAGAGGACCAGTTCATTACTACGAATCCGCGCAAGGTCCCTCCTCGCTTAGCAGCGCGCCTCGCCCATGGATAGCCGGAGAACACGTGCAAGGAGACTACACCCTCTCCTGTCAGCGGCTACGTTACCACGTGGTTGCGCCAACGCTTGAAGTCTACGCGGACGGAGTCCTTGACCGCGCAAGGACACGTATACGTGTCTTCCGTTCCCCATATACTCCGTTCACCCCCTAAGCTGACAGTGCGGCGGGAGCTACGCACTCGCAGGACCAATCAGCCGCCTCCCTTTCGTCACCCAACTCCGCTCTCTACGCGTCGCTATGAATGGGAGTGTCATCACGTGACGAAAGATGGACGTACGATAGGACGAACGAGCGCGTGGCTTCCGCCGCACTGCCACCCTAGGGGTGAACGGAGTAGAGACGACGCGTCACCGACTAACTGCCGTTTCGCTTTCAAACAGACCGCAGAGGACGCTACGAGCCATCCCTATCCAATCCAGCGCTCAATCCAGTCCAATCTATCCGAGGATAACACGACACCCACGAGGCATTAGATTGGCTGCGACGGCTGGTAGCGTTCACTGCGCTCGGTCGTGAGGTGAAACGGTGTATCGTACGAATGTCAGCCGTTTAAAAACAAGAGAGTGGGGGTGAAACGAAGTAACGAAAAGAGAAGGAATAGCAAGAAGGACTTGTTGCCGTTGCTTACGACGAAGCGCAGCCTCCTTCCCTCACCTACGTGTGACGCAACTCGCTTCTTTTTTTCCTTGAATCATTTGTGCGAGAGGGATGCTTATTTCTTCGTCGCCGGATACCTGGGATAAGAGAGCGAATTAACATAAGCGGAGGACGAGAGAGCAGACATCGCAGTCTTGGCCGGCGTGGGGGAAAGTCGAGACGCGAAAGAAACGCCTCGAGAGAAGAAGAAGGGACCGGAGGGGTACTCGGGGCTTTCCCCTCGTTGTAGTGCGGCAGAGACGGGCCTGCGACGACTTGGCCGAACGCTAAACCTGTTGCTGCTTTCGGATTTCGTCGTCGACGTCGCCGCCGATATTCGCGCAAACAGTGCAGCAGTGAACACCGGTTGACCGGCAAGGAGGCCGCCGATCCCGAGGCTCGGCATTTTTTACGGCGCCGGACTCGTAACACCAGGTGAGTGCGGTGCACTTCTCCAGCGTCCGAACGAGGAACTGGCTTTCCAGTGTGAGCTCGGGCGGCGCCACGTAGAGTAATGGATACCTGTGAGGCAGACTCCTTTAGCTCCATGGGACGTCATCCTAAGATGGTCAACTCATCGATTTGGCCCGAGCCCGAGCTCGACGCCGAGTGTCCTTCGACGAGTCGATCGGACACAGGGACAAGCCGAGCCCTGACGCAGCATTCGTATCGAATATGTGACTGCACTGGTTCTTACTGCGATGATTTCAAAATTCTGATGCAGCACCTTTGAATATTCTAAGTAATGTTGAATCATTTGGTGTCCATAAAGTTTTATTCTGTCGCATTGGCAGCTCTAAGGTTCCCTGCTGGTCAACTAGTTTCACAGTGGGCTGGTTCTATAATCCTGATCAAGCGAATTCACATTGACCCAGCTGGCTTATGGAGACGGCAACAGATTCCCATATATTGGTTTCAGGTTGATCAAGCTATCGCCCAGGTCATTACTGCAGTCTCTGTCTCCACAGAAAAATGAAACACTGAGAATATTATGATATAAATTTTACTAGCTTTTGTGCCATGTCAGGCGTTAGCGTCCACTCAAAACATAGCACCCAGCAGAACGAGTGCTCAGTGGTTGCACAATTGGCACCACAATCATGGACGCATCTTGTATAGAGGGAACAAGTTGTAACACAAGTTTTCCTTTTCTATTTGGCACGGAATTCGATGATTCATGTTCCTGAAACATTAATCCAGTCTATGCATTTTTTTTAAACATTCGCTTAGAAAATAGGGAAAGCAGGACGTTTTCAAATAACCATGCACGGGCGCGGACACGGCTGAAGCACTAAACATGGAAAGAGATCTCCGTTCTATCTTCTATCACATGCGTTTTTAGACCAATACTTCATCATCGTGTTTGAGCTTCAAACTCTCACTCAGAGCTCTCGTGCAAGAAAACAAGCCCTTCGGGGCTCATGATCACGCTGTGTGGGGCTCTACAGACGCATCAAAAGGCGTCATTGCTGGGCTTACTAAAATCTACGTCAACGATCTACGCGTGAATTACACGCGCGAAGAACGATGTCGTGAAATATAAAATGAATGGACATTTAAGTGTTTCAGCAAGTTATGCCAAGACCACACACGTGTCTTGGACAACTTCCCAGACAGATCGTGCGTAAACGCCATGGAGTGTAATTATCTACACTTACATTAGCGTGGAGTCATCGAGATGGATGGTATGCGTTCACTTACAACTTATAGACATGGTCACTGGGATTACAACTCTCCCATATCGAACGTAAGTGTACTAACGACACTTATGCGAAAGATATAAGGCTTCGAAGTGTCAAAAGAACTCGACATTTGGAGATCAGATTTCTCGAGCTTTGTGGACGATCGTTTATGTAGAATAAGAAGCAGTAGTCACCTAGGGCGATGTTAAGTATTCTGAGAGCAGAAATATACACGAGCGTCGGAATTATTTGGGAGAGGTGGGGGGGGGGCTAAGGTGTCTGGAAACCTCTGTCCCACTGCTCCTACATCATACAAAAAGTACGGTGTTGGTCGCACATATATGATGACAAAAGTATGGGCGCGCCAAGAATGTTCGAAGCACGTTTGCTTTATATATTTGTATGCTTCGACGATGTCTGCAAATAGTTTTACGCTTTCAAAAAGAGGCGTGCTCTTGTATAGGTCCAGTTGACTCAGCCTTATGAAACACTATGCTCGTATGCGGACAATTAGACAAGGTCAAGTTGGCGCCTGTCTTGATTTAAAAAAGCCTTCCTTCTTTTTTTCGTTTTGACTGCGGTTAAATTGGCGCGTTTTGGCTATATCAACTTGTCAATTAAAAGAAAAAGGCGCACGTACCTGTCTCCGAATGTAGACACTCACAGCGAAACTTGTTCGTTACGCCACATCCAGGAAAGAAAAGCAATACGGGAGAAATCTCGTGGAGACGTGCCAAAACGAAACCGTTCCGCAGGGCTACTCGCGCAAACAGCCAGCCGTCACGTTGTCGGTAAAATTACGAGGCACCTAATTCATAGGCCGTCTTCGTGTTTTTATTGGTAATTTTTTTATCATCCAGCGAGACGATCTCTTCCTGGGCGAATGTGTCTTAATGTGACGTCTGTGTACATTCGGGACACTTTCACATCCAATTACGATTTGTTTTCCTTTCGAAAGCCCTTGGTGAGCCTGCGGGAGATCGCGTTTGGTTAAACGTTCTTCGAGGTTGAGACGCGAGTGCACACAAGGAACAAAATTAAGACAGACATGAAAGGCGTTGCGTCTATTTTTTTCTGGTGTTTGTTCTTCGCATGTGCTCGCGTCTACATCCCCCCCCCCCCCCCCTCCCCAAGCACCATCACCACGAGTATTTCCAGGTCCGTTCTGCCGCACTTTTTCTAAAGTTGCCACGATGTTATACTCACGTCTGGGAAATACTAAAGGGTAATAAACAGGCACCTTTAGTAGTCACAAAGAACTCAAATAAAATTCAAAACTGTTACCCTGCTTGTTTTTCATGCGCAAACTGTGATTTTTTTTAGCCAAATTGATTGTTCGGGGCTTCGTCGTTCGTTCGCTGAACGCTATCTGCAGATCACGGTGATTATATCTCCGCGTGCACTGTGGAAAAGTAAAGACTCGGGCATTTTTATTGAGTGCACCGAATGAAAAGCAATATGTGTTCGAAGATTCGAAGAGAGACTGTGACAGTCACTACGCCGGGCAATTAATGGATGCCTCACTGAATGTATAGGCAACCTAAAATCCATGATATTTTGCACAAGACGTCAGGGCGCAAACGAGCTAGTGAAGTTTAGCAATAACGCGACCACGAGATTGAAGTTATGCAAAAGACGACACATACACAAAAAGTATATTTTGTACGTGTATGTGGTCTTTCTTTTACCTCCAACCTCAGAATTGTGTTACGTTTAATATTTTGTCATTTGCGATACCTTAGAGACGCTGTACTGGATGACTACGTTAATGATAGACACACAAAATAATCACACGAGGAAACAAGCAAGGTCAAACACGGGAACGCCATGCTTTGGAGGAAATGTTGACTCTGCCTAGCCCAAATGATCTTGGTCATTTAGCAAATGCCTTCGCGCCGTCTGTGGCACGTTTACAGAGTAAACATGAGCGTCTGGGGAAATACCCAGAAAAAAAAAAAAAAGTCGGCACGACTCTAGGTTGTATTTTTGAATCGGCGTGACAACCTTTACACCTGTCATCTTCGCTCGAGACACATACCGCGGGTCGTGGCGCGGTATTTTGCATGAACACCTCTGCGACGCCGCAATATGATGCCAGCACCGGACAAACATAAGACCCGTAAAAATAATAAAAAAAGTTAAAACATCTCCGTTAATCAAATTTTGAGAGTGGGAAGAAAACTTGAAGACAAAGCAGAAGAGGCAGAAAGAAGTAGACAGAGAGCGTCGCAAGAAAAAATACGACATATGCTTGGTCGTTACGCCACATCATAAGTAATTTGCACCAACTCGCGTGCACTTCGACAATTTTTTCATCTCCCTTTTTCTTCAAAGTGCACACTTTTTTTTTTTAATTTCTTGCTTTCTCGCACTTGCCCGTCATCATAATTTTCCTAAGACCAGTTATATCATGTATACGCTCGGTTTGATTGTTAGTCAGAGCTCAGCCGAAGGCTAAGATACACACAAACGAAGACACACAGACTAAACCAAAGCATTGATTGTCACGGTGCGCTTACTGGATTTGGTAGGATTAGCCTCGAAGGACACACCTAAAGAAAGTTTGTAACGTCGTCATTCTGGAGTTTCTTGAATAGGGTCAGCGGCTCGTAGCCTCCGCTGCGCTTTGAAGGCAAATGGATTCCTCCTCCCTCCACTCACGCTTCCTCCTCCTCCTCCTCCTCCTTTTCCTCCGCTGCGCACACTCTTCTTTTGTTTTAATATTTTTCTGTACCGCATTTGCCCGCCATCATGATTGTCCCAAATTCCAACGCGGCAAGCGACGCTGTTCAAAGGATGACGTTACTTTTCTATCGACACCATTCCAGCACTCAGTATCCGGGCGAAAAATGACCAGTCATTGGGCTGTAGGCGCGTGCGCGACATCTGATATTACTAAGGAAAGTGCTATCACCCAAGCTCAAAATGCGGTTAACAGCCCGGAAAAAAAAAAAAAAAGTCGGATGGGCGGTTGGGGCCACCTTAGCCTACAGACCTTTGCAGCGCTTATCACCCGGGCGAAAAATGCTGATTCACCGAGTTGTGGACGCATGCGCAGCGTCTGATATCCCGCACAAACAGGATTACAGCGCATGCTCTGAAGGCGTTTCACAGCCTAGCAGACAAAGATGGCAGCGCGCAGAAGGCGACTTTTGCAAAGGTCTATTCTCCGTTCCACCTCAATTCCATCCAAAGCCGGCGTTACGACCTCACGAAGCCAATCCGAGCCAAAAGTGCTGCCTCATTGGCTTCATCGTCTTAGCGATTTTCCTTTTCAAAGGCGACGAATATGCGTTCACACTGGTGGAGTAAAACCTTTCGTTTGGTAGTGATACCCGGAAACAATCAAATTTGGGGTTCAATGAAACTAAAGAGATGAAATACACGTCCGGTTGTCGATGACGCCTCCCCCCCCCCCCCCCCCTTGCACACACACACAAACACGCGCACACATGCTCCGAGTGTGGCACACGGACTGACTCTTGCTTGGCCCTTCCGCGTTGCTAGGGTGCCAGACGCGATGACGTCGACGGCCCGCGGTGCCTGTCAGCTGCGCCTCCTCGGGTCTGTGAGAAATGGAAAGTCAGTTGCTGGAATTCTCTCGGCGCTGGGGCTGTGCAAACACCAGCCCCGAGAATCACGAACTTTGTACCCAGCAAACTCTCTCGTACGTTTCGGAGTTGTTTGGCGAAAGAAAAACCAAATGGTCAAAACAGAGGGCGCGTGCTTACACTCGGACCATAGCCCACCGAC